TGAATTGATTAATATCATACACTGAATTGATTAATATCATACAATCATTATTGCCAATCAAACATTCAAAAGAATCTTCACAAACAAAAGAAAAAACACGTATTCCAGACATGTCTCGTATCGAGTGCAGGGGAAGTTAAATACACCTTTTTTAAGGCATTCATTTTGTTCAGTAATGGGACCTATGACCCATTGATTCTGCGGATCCCGTGGACATATAGAGATTTCAAATTGCTTTGTAGCAGATCTTGACATGTTGGACAAATATCTTTGTCGTCCATAGTTGCCTTACGTGATGGACATCCTTTTCTGTGCGTACAGGTGGTGATGTTTTCAAAACTCGCTTGGTTTCGCTGGAAATTTTGTTCTGAGGAAAAAGGGTCAAGAAAACAATTAAAGACAAGTCACACGAAACAGGTATAAAATACTCTAAAACGGCATGATCAAATTGATGTTGAGAAAATCAGATGAATTTGGCACAGAAAACAATTTCAACTCTGTTGTTAAAATTGATTATCATGTTTGGCCTTGTGAATGTAAATTTGCATTTTGAAAAGAGCAGTGTACATTAAAAGTTATCAGTCAATAAAATATTCAAATACTGTCGAACTACGCAGACCTGTTTCTTGGCTCGGAACATCGTCACATCGAAGAGTAGATCCCCGCGAATTTTGTACTTGTCTCCGGCCTGCGCTGCATCTATTGCACTGAATAACTTCACCATCTTGGCGTCATTTTCACTGTATAAAGGCAGAAAGGGAGCAGGATTTCAGAGGAAAAAAATATTCACAATTTTCATCACTTTATCGAAACTATTTCAACTGGTTGTACAACTATGTTAAACAAACTGATTTCACTCTAAATGTGTAGATCTCTATTGAAGATGGCTTGTGAGGAGATACGTGTACTTCCAATTATACTCCAAGCATAGTGTGTTTTCAGTAATTCAAGCACTGACAAGAATACCTGGAGAAAATTTCCGTACGGCGAATAGAACCTTCTATGTGGATTGATCGATTTAAAAATAAAAACAAATACCTCTTCCATCCTTCATAACTAAGGGAGACCCGGCATCTACATGTACTGTCAATAAATGACAGAAACGAATTTGTTTTGCAACCCACGTACCGAGGCTAATTACTTACGTCAGAATGTATGTCCTGCACATGCGTAGCAGAAGCAAAATGATTTTTGCCATTGTATGTAGTTTTCCAAATTTTCTTAACTGTGTGCAAAGAAATAAAGTTCCAGTGTTACGAACTGCTATGTACTACAATATTCAAGGACCAATGGTGAACATGTCAGAATGCACGTATACATGTCATTGGTGAAAGCTCATGAAGGAAAAAGGGAGTTATTACAAGTCTTGTTTCCAGACATTCAAATTGTATCTAGTGCCTACATCCATGGACTCAACGAAAGTGTACAAAATGATGCACTATCCTCAGACAGGACAGTCACACATTACTCTGTTGGGGCTCAATTTATTGCACTTTTAAAATCATTTAATTCTTATCGCTAAGATCCACCCATTAGGGCACAGAATTTCAGAAGAGCAGATAGTAACATTTACTCTGATAGGAGGTTCTGGCCGGCTATTGTTTTTCTCCGTATCAAGCCGAGGGCTCTTGATCGGCAGCCTCCCGTCAGCAATAGCTCCACGTCGGTGTGGGCTTCTCATCAACTGCAAACCATCTTCATCGAGACTACCTTGCACATGCTCCGCAAGCAGCGACCGTGGTGTAGATTTGTCCGTCTTTGGCTCTCCGTCTCTGTTCCGTAGCCGCGTGGTCTTCTTGCTGCTTCGGCCCATCATAGCAAGAACTGTTCTTAACTTCTCTCGTCGCTTGAGTTGTCCCAACTTGGAGGTGCCATCTACGGATGAAGTCGCCTTCGCGAGTGGGTGTGGCAATGTAGTGGTTACTTTGGGGGCGCGAATCAGTGGCGCCAGAGGGCGCTCGCTTTTTTGGCGTTTCTCTGTGACCTCCCCCATGTCAGAAATGTTACTTAAAAATGAAGTCTCTCCAAACCTCATGAAATGAAAATTACATGTTCATTTCATTAACATGATGTGTGGCTGATCAAACCTCGCAGTCATGACTGAAAAAATCAAAGCAAAACAACATAATAGCCTATTCATTATTTAAGTTTAATATACGTGTATCACAAAGTTTCACATGATTTGAGGCGTTCCAGGTCAAGTACAACCCAAAATATGCAGCATGATCAGTGATATTACATGTAGGCCTATATTCAAGCTGAAACATCAGACTTAAAAATGTATTGCAACATACTAATATAGGCAAACATTTGATTTCATTTTAGCTTGAGCAATCACTACATAAAAAGTCATGGAATACTACGCACCAGGTTCTTTTCAACTGTTTACAGAAGTCGAGTTAGGCTACGCGTAAATTCTGATGTGACCGCACAACGGTGCTCCTTAAACTACAGTTTCTTGCAGTAAGAGATCGATCAGGGAGCGAGAACTCTTCTAATATTGATTACTCCAACACAGCCCATTCCTTTAACACAGAACTTCGTCTCTTCAAGGAGACCCAGCGAAAATAATTCAGGTTATTGATTGAGAGACTGCAGAGTGCTTTTTGAAATATTGATTTCACCTGTCCAATTGTGTTTTATGCAACATATACTGTCTGACACACGTAAACACGTAATAACACTGTAAACCAAAATGGAAAGTATTGCTTCAAATATATATATTTTTTACAGCACATTGTTTTCTGCTTAACACGTGATATAAAATTTGTCGGGAGACATTATTTTAAATCTTCATGTAATTATTGTAATGTCATTGTTCAAAGAATAGAATTCAATCTACTAGCCATTAAAACTATTTAGTGATTTCTTTCATCGGTGTGTAATCGATTTTCAGTGGAAGTGGGAAAGTTATTGTGAAACTATCTGTTCAGAACTGTATTTTATTCGAAGTGTTTTGAAATTTACCTCACTATTATTTTGACATCTTTCCATATTTCCTATTCAGTACTATCTGGTGAACGTGATGAATGTTAAAACATCAACTCTATGCGTTATTCGGGTTTAAAGAGACACATTTGAACAAGCCAAATTGTTCTGAAAAGTTCATCTCGATTTCGCATGTTTTGTCGCCTTTTTTCAGAGTTTGCGAGCTAGGGACGAATACACGACTTTGCAGTTACAACTTTTAATAAAAGTAGTCGATTGTTTTCGCTGCAATTTGAAAGACAGTTTTTAATTTTAAAAAACGAATAAAGGGAAATAAAATTCAAAGCAAAACAACACACTAGTTCGCAGCAAATGAAATGGAACTTACCCGAATTCGTAATGACAACTTGATAAAAAGAATCTTCATTTCCTCGGTTACAATTTCTCATAAGGTCCATTGAGATGGACGTAAATCTGCCGACATGCATCGACAAGTCAACACAGCCTATGAGTACGACACTTCGTCAGTGTCCTTATGCATGGGTAGCCTCGTAGTAGGTTTCCACTATAGTGTAATTTCTACCATCTGCAGTACAAATAGTACAACATCCAAACAATATCCGTATGAATTTCTAGCTGTACACCACACAACCAGAATCCAGAAACGGAAAGTGAACCAACGTTGTATTTCCTTACTCTATGGTACACCGAAACCATAGGGACCGACATAGTTCAGCCTGTGTGAAGTTACCAACAAAAGATTGTGCTCATTCAACCAGTAGCCCATTCACCGTTTCTATGGGTATGTACTAGACGCTTGACTTAATGGGGGTATAAATATTGTGGGTGGCCCTCTTGCTAAAATCGGTCTATTAAAGAACTTCTATTATGCTTAAGAAGATTTGAGTTTTCTCGTGTGGGATACTACGTCTAATATTCTTAACGTCAATGCAGTGAATTCCTTTTATAAAATGACAGCAAAACATATTATTTAGGGAATATAAAAAATCTTATTTTGTAGTTCGATATAAATGTACACAGAGCTCCTCCCAAGCATTAAAAGGCAAAGTTTACTCCATGATAAACAAGAACAATGTATATAGCAGGGCAACTGATTACATCAGTTCTAGCCAAATCATCCCAAAGCCCGTAATAATATTGCTCGCCTAGTCCCTTTTGCCAAGGCTGAAGTGCACCGTGAGTGCACTGAGACAGTCCCAAAAATGAATTGTATAAATTATCATATTGATTACGAAGTCCAAATCCAATCCTTTTAACCCACGTAGTGGCATTTTTGGGCGGCATTTCAGATTTAAGAAATGACACTATAAAAATTTATTCCTGGGGCGAACCTTGTTGACACTGTGATTAATAATAAGCGCTTAATGAGAGGAAAGACGGCCTTGTATACACGTGTTTGTTTACAATTACATGTAGATGTAATCCATCTTGATATTCCATAGCAACAGGAATCCGACCGAACATTCCGTACCACTATTTCACTCGAAAGACTTACCAAGAATGAAATCTCACAACTTGTCTACAGATGCACGAACGACTTCTTGAACTCGAACGTGTTACTCCCTATGCACCGACAATACTAAGGAAACTTCAACACCCGACAACCAAAGGTATGGTGCGACAACTGAAATTTCCTCTTTTCTTCAACATCGGTCTCTGGACGTCGAAAAGTCGCCCAAATGCCTGCCACATTCTTGACCTCCAGATACCCACACCCACAATCCCCGGCCATTAGATCTGACCTCTCTCCCTTGGGGATACAGCAAAGTTGTCAACACGGCAACCAACTCAGAGATTCCAGGGCCTGACCCTAATTTAAAGGGAAACTGCAAACTTTTTGAAAACTATTTGCCACATGCTTGGGGGTAATCAATTCGATGAATTATCCGATTATCCACCAAAATCGTGCATTAATATTTTCTGTCGATCTCAAACTTAAACCTTATTGGCTTTTTCACGGATGTTTAAATGTGGCTTCACTGAATCAAACAGACTGTCTCCTGTTGAAACTCCCTTTTTTCCACAGCGTGTCGATCAGGCGAGAATTCACGTTTTGGTACGGGACAGTGTATTTCATATCAACTCACGTGGACAGAAAACAAACACTGCTACCCAAGGCCGTTTTCCAATACTCAAATTCGGCTCCGTCTAAGGCTTGAACTGTTTTTTAACTAGCTGATGTTGAAGCTGTAAACGCAGTAATTAGTTTAATAGTGCCACAAAACATCAAAAAAGATGCAAGAGAGCCAGAAATTACAGTAATCCAATTTAATTTAAACGCTTCAGGCCCACAATCGGGGATTAGTTTTGGGAACGAATCCCGAGACGGGGACTAAGTCGAGTATTGGAAAAGGGACCAAAGAATGTTAAGTCCTCGTCTGGCCCCCTGCTGTACTTTTCATGGAGACAGAAGACCAATAAAATAAATCAATCCATCTAAGGATTCTTTCGTTCCCAGACTAGTAAAGAGGATGTGGAACACAAAAAAGTATATTTATTCAAAATCACTAAATCAGTCTAACTGCAATTGACTAACAGAATTTAGTTCTCTTTAATACCATGGAGCTCTGTACATGCCCACCTCAAACAAGGAACCACATGCATTTGTGCCATACTTTAGCGGCTTCAAATCTTAACTGAGCTTTAAAACTGGAAATACCTGCGTGGGGCAGATTAACCCTAACTCCCTAGGGTGTGTGCAAAATCATATTAAAATTGGAGGATTCAGGGCTGTTAGGGTTAAATGTACCGTATTTTAATGTTACATGAGATTAGATTATCAGCTTTATTTCAACCTCCAAATCTACCAGTTTATCTTTGAGATGATCGGTCAGTTGGTCGGTGAAATGTTCTCACAAGACGTTTACTGGTATTTATCCACGATCAGCCCAACTACGGGTTAATCTATTTCCCTTGACTTCACATTAATATAATCATATGTCTGCATATTGTAATCTAGCAGTAATCTTCTGACACAAAACTCTGGGAAATGAGTGATGATGCAATCTGGAGTAGATATTAAACAGTGACAGTGGATTAAAACACTCTCAGAATAGGAACAAAAGACAATGGGTTTTTATTTTAAGTTCACTCCACAACTGCCAGAGATGGCTTGCTTATAACATCCAGCGTGGCTTACATCATTTGTACAGCTTATGTCTAAGACTCAAAACCTCTTTTCAGCTTCAACATTGGAAACGCTAACATATAAGAAGTCAGATCAAATAAAGTTGTCTCACTTCTTCTGGCCTCTCACTTCCCTAAACCTTGCCAAAAGTCCATCTTTCTCTCTGAGAACGCAGGTCAGTGTCTTCCGCTGGTAATAATCAGGCATGAGCTCTATGTTCTCAATGACATCTGACAGAAGGTGTGCTCTTGTGACCCCTGACCCTGGAGCGTCAAATTTCACGTGAGTCACATGGACATGAAGGTGGTAGTATGAGGGCTGGTAGTGTAGGTATAATCTGAGTTGGTCTGATGCTATGCAATATTTCTCTTGAACTTCTTTCTGCAAATGAAGAAATAATGTGAGCATCATTACAATTCTACAAAAAAGAGAATGTGTGCCTTTTCAAAAAATTGTCCGCCAAAGCCCCAAACTATGAAAGGGATTTGTTTTGAGACTGCAGGGCATTAGGAATGTGGATGTTTTTAAAACCAATATGAAGGTTATTTCTTTGTGTGCATTTTAATGCATTCATCTTTATTATGATATTTCCCCTCAGGAGTGGTATTGGTGATCTCATCTTTTTCTAGTAGTATACCTATATTCACAGTTAGTGGATTTGGTATCCAAGTTTCAGTTTCTGAACCACTTGCCTAATCTCTGTTTTTCATGAAAAAAAAACACAGTTCTCACTTTGTGTTCAGATTATGAAAAAGCAGCATAATTTACTTTATTCATTACATTTACTGGTATGATGATAAAAGCTTGCCCCCCCTCCAAAAAAAAGTTCGACGACAAAACTAATAGCCAACCTGGCACTTGTCTCTAATATTTCTCAGCAATGGCAGGTGTTGATGATTTAAGTCTCTCAGGCTTTTGATACCCTTTCTATGACAGATAGCAACCAAGTACAGGTTTTCCATTTGTTTCCTGTCCCATTTCATGTCTGGGAGTAAGACAAAGCCATCCTGATGGTCTGGATCCTCGTAGACAATACGCTCAACCTCCTCTGCTTTCTTCTCCAAAATATTGTAGACCCACTGATAACAGAAGGACAGGGGAAAAAGATATTCACCTGAATAAAATACAATCTAACAATCAATATTTATAAAACGGGTCGACACTTTAGTCTTCATAAGTACAACATTGCACTGATGTCATGATAGAAACTATGGTCTCTCTCTTCTACAGAAACTTTCTTTCCTTGTAACGATATTTAAGAATGCCTTGAAAACAAATACTTGAAATAAGCAGTGTAGTTTAAACCTTGGTTGTTCTGGTGAAACAGGGATCTGTTTTCTCTTTATTACATGTACCTGTATTTTGAAGGTCTGTTCCTCAAGATAAGGCAGTGTGATGTTGCAGTAATCATCGCAGGTTTCTTCAATCAAGGCAACATCCTGATCAGTGTACTTCTCTATGTGACGCTCTGTTGCTGGATATATTACTGTTGTCTTGATTCCTGTTCCAAGAAAGAGATTAATAAAACCTTAGAGTGTCATGCAAAACTTAACCCTCAAACAGCAGTCTGAATTAATAAGTTTCAAATGACGGATAAAAATGTCAACAAACTTCAAACCTCTTAAAATAGCTGTAGGGGGCCCACAGTGGAAAACACAGTGGGAAAGAGCTCCATATCCCGGACATCACTCAACATCCTGTGTCCTGTGTAACTATGACTGATGATACTGGTTTCAAAAATTCTAAATGTTTCCAGTTATTGCTTTGATATTGATAAATTGGACTTCTAGGACATGCTTTCACTGTCTGATGGCTAATAAACCAATTCAATGGAAATTAGTGATGTGTGTATATATTGAGCTTGTACTGTACAGTGCCACTGTTAGTGAGTGTACGGTGTGTTCCTCATTTTGACCCCTCCTATCCTAGCTTGACTAAGTCCTGCCCTAATGCACTATGGCATATAGGTAATTCATTAAATCAGGGGTCCAAAAATGTGACTTTTGTGTCCCTGTAACATTTGACCGTTGCTATTTGAAATGGAAATATCACCGGAATTGATTTCAAGCTATTACTATTTGTTTGGCAGGTAATTTGCATCAAATTCATCACTCTTGGAAATTAGAAAATGTGTTCTGAACTTACAAAATCATACGTCAGATGTGACAGGGACACATCCCCCCCTCCCCCCCGATTTCTGGAATTTTCCAATGTCGTGAGTATATACCCATGACATTTGAAAATTCGAGATTTGGGGCTAGACCAGGTAGACTCCCTGACCATATCACATTACGTAATGTAATGAAGACTGTCATCCAACCCGAGTTAGATTTTGACATTTGGGGGCATATTGGGGAAACACTTGTGCAAAAAATCATATTTACTTTTATTTCACTTGATTTCATCTCATGGTCTCTACAACTCTGAAATGTATATACAGTTGTAAGTACATAAAATTACTGTGAACACTTTCCGCATGTAGTAAAGATTAGGATAAAACAGTTAGTATGTGTACAAACATCACCAAGAAATGCAGGGAGCCAACAAAACCAAGCTTGTCAGTGTGTGTCCCCAGAACAATTAACACAAATGAACAAGGAACCTAATAAGAAAAACAAACAAACAAAAAGACTCCAGCAACATAATAAATGTCACCGATGTGAAGTTAGTTCCTCGTTCCTCGTTTGACGTTCGACATTCAACGTTGAACAAG